AATAAAATGTAAAAAAAATAATTATTGAGATATAGCTATAGACCTAACGTATAAATATTATTTAAAAAAAAAATCAACTAAAAATATTAACTGGATCAAAAGTTATTTAAGTTGTCAGTGAGTGGTGGGCCACCCTGTATATTGATAGTAATGTACATTACAATTCAATGCAATTAAAATATATCATTTAATTATTGCGTTCGTGGTATAATATCAAATAGAAAATTGTAAAAAGTTTAATATTGTCAATAATATTATTGTCCTTAGTTTGTTCATTAACTAATAAAATAACTTTTAATAATTTCTTTGGTGTCAATGAAATATCTCTAATTATGTATAATTTGAATTTTTTTAAATCTAGTAAATGAATTAATTGAAATAATTTTGTACCATGTTATTTCTTCATATTTTAAGTATATATGAAGTATAGATTATCTGATCTTTACTTTCTTGTTCAATAATTATCGCTTTAAAAATTATATAAGATTAACATCGATTGTCGTCCTTGTTTTATAAAATGTATGAATTTTTTTCTAGTTGTTCACAATTTATTTAAGTTGGGATCGGTTAAAAATCCTCACAATACGATTTTCAAGAGCATCTATTATTTACATTATCTGAATTGTATATGTTATGTTTTTAACATTTATATTTTAAGTCGTCATTTATATTCATATTAATTCTCAATGTTTCTATTGTTTTTAATGAATAGTGATATATAAAACAGTAAGTTAAAGATAAATAGAGTAATAGTAATGAAAATATTAAAAATAAATAAATAAACAAACAGCTAATCTTGTCTCTTCAATTAAACAGATTTATTTGTCGATATCTTAGATTTTTAAAATGTTTTGTTTGTTGTACCAGTTAAAACGTTAAATCTAACTTTCTCCTTGCATCTGCACCTCCCCTGAGAAACTATTTACGATCACATATTCCCAGGATACGGTGAGAACTTACCCAACAAAACAGTATAATACACACGAACCAGAAACCTTACAACTGACTCATTCGCCGCTGTACAAAGGCCTCAAAACGTCACACGTAAACGTACAACTTTATAGCTAACGCCCTTTGTTCTACGCAAATACTGTTGTTATGAAGATGTAGATAACTGAGTGATTTCGACAAAATTCCCTACACAGCAGCTTTTAAAATATTATGATACATTAACAGAGGTTTTAAGTATTATTGATCGTTCATAAACAAGGAATAGAAACAAATGAATAGGTTATACCATATAACGTGTCCGGTATATTCTCAAATAAAAAAATCCACTTAATACATACATTAAAAATAAAATATTATGGCCGTTTGGATTTTATCCTAAAAAATTTAAAAAAATGTTATTTAAAAAAACAAACTGTTATTAATATTAACGATCAATTTCCCTCAATACAAGAGTTTGAGATTAATAACAGTTTTAATTTGTGACATTGACGAAACTAGAATTTTACATTAGCTAATGCGAAAATAAATTTTAGATTTTCGAACATCTTTTTTTAAATGATTATATAAAAAACTAGGAAGGCTTAGTTTTTGATCTGGAAAGAGATTTCAAAGAAAGAAAATGAAGTTAGCCCGTCCTCTCCAAAACTTTTGATTGAATTCGATCATTTCTAGTCAACTTCTGTTTTCTCACACTAAAAATAAGATTTGAGAAATTCAAAACTTTTTATTAACTACAGGAATGAAACAATTAGTTTAGAAATGTGTGATGTTTACTTTATAGTTTTTTTTTTTAATAATAATATCTTCATTAGTAAAACTCGAATTTTACATGAGTTAAACGAAAATATATGTTCATTATCTTGAATAATTTTATTGCTGTTAATCATTAACCAAAACTGTATTGTGCACATTGGTACCAAATAAAGTAGTTTTATAGATTAACATAATACTTATTGTTCGAGATTTTTATATCAATTTTAAAGTATGATTTCGCATAAAAGTAAATTAATATAGTCACTGTAAATAATACTGAAGAACATTGAGTACTCAGCATTACTTTAAATTTTATAATTTGTATAAGTTAATAGCTGTTACTGCTATTTTATAATATCAGTAACATGTATTTAATAGATGACTCTACGTATCAAATATGAGCATATATAAAATGATTACATAACAACCGATCAATGAAAAATAAAGAGAAGATATGTTACTGTGTACGTGTTACTTAATCTAGAGAAGCCATAAATGAATAGTAAAAATTGGCATTAAATATGTAGCATTGTGTCAGAAGTCCCATTAAGTTTAAATCCCAATAGTAAACAATGTTCTATACGTTTGTCGATTATTGTTGTATGATAAAACGTTTGTAACATCCCTCGCTATAAATAGAAACTGTCCTAAAGAAAATCTCTTGTATTTTAGGAGATCGAATAAAAATGGATTATGTACTCCAAAGAGGCAGTTCGGTTAAAATGGAAAGAAATTGTCTGTATTCTTCGAGTGCTATTTGAGAGCCTCGGGGGTAAATTTATTTGGTGTCTTGGCCAAGGTGAGGGGCGATTTGTTATTTTTCACCACCGGGTAACTAATACAACTCTCTAACGCGACCCGTTGCGCATCTACTCTGTATTATGTATAAGAATATTTTTTTGGCTACTGTTCCGTATTCTCGAAAAGAAAAAACGGAGAAATAAAGGGAGAATGAGAAAAATAAAAAAAAAAATCAGACAACCGGATAGGGTTCTTATGTTGACAGAGTGAATCATTACTTTTTACACACCCTTCAGCAGGAATCGAATAGAAGAGTTTGACTTTGCGTTTCAATCGATCAGTGGTGATCAGCATAGATTTTCGACAACTTCAAATAAATACTTCAGTTATTTGATGAACAAAGAAATATTTTTGGCTACATCACAGTATTTTTCTGTTAAAAAGTCATATAAACTATCCGTAGAATGAATTTTAAAATATTACTAATTAATAGAAAAAAAATTACTTAACCAAAAAATAAAAACGTCGTAAAAGTAATAAAATATTTTTTTTAATGAATAAACTATTACTTAAAACAACTATTTAACAATAAATATACTCATTAAATTAATCTAATTCGTTTTAATATATTAGTCTACAGACTTAAAAAATAAAACAAAAATATCAGGAATATTAAAATAATTATGATTATGAAAACAGTTGCGATTTTCACTTTTAAAGCCACTTCCAAATACGATATAAATAAGCTTTTCATTAAATGATACTTCCCACTTACCTAGAAAAGTTATATACACCTAATTCAAACATATCGATTTTTAGCAGTAAAAATAATACCACTTACCAAAATTTATTTCGCTGATTTAATATTTCAGAAACTACCAAAAAGTGATAGATAGAAGCCCAAAACTTGTGAAAACTTAAATATGAACTTAAACTTGTTGTAGAATTCATCGCTTTCTTACATAATTTATTTAGCATTTCATCATAAGAAATAATAATCTATCAAATATTTTATTTCATTATAATAAATTTTATTTTTAACTTTATTTTGGCTATTGAGCCATATGTCAAAACTAGTTATTGTTATATTTTTTTCAACTCGATACAAAGTTCTTTTTTCTAACAAGCTTTTCATTCAAAATTGTACAATTTCTAATACTATTACTGTATTTTGCACCATTTTTACCATAATAATTTATATCTAACTCGTTAGATTTAAATAATAACACGTTAGGTAAATTTCATTTACTTCATTAAATTTCAATAGTAAATGTATTTTCGAGAATATTCGGTTGAAATTCGTGTGATGAACAAATTAGCTCTGATACTAAGTTAAGTAAAAGCGATTTCTGTTTCGGATTACAAAGTTTCTTCAAAACCGCCCTTTCGTAATATTAATATATTTTTGTCTTTTATTGTTATTTTTGTCTCATTTTCCTTCCATCAATGTATCTTAGTAACACTGAACACATGTACTATCTAACCCAATGATGTTTTTATTGAGCGCCACATTCGGCTATAGTCGTAAATACGGTCGAATGAATATAACCAAGTTACTTGGAAAGAAAAAGCATATATTTAATGTTATATACAAACGGGTGGAGTTATAATAAAAGTCCAAAAAGAGGAGTGACTTGGTGTGTAATATAATGGTCTGCGATTCTCGTATATACGTGTATATCAATAGGTTCTTAATGTGAGTTTTTCATTGATCACAAATCATTGTTACGAATGTTCACGTCACGGAGAAAAAAACGACGGATTTGTTATAAAGTTGCTTAGGGTTATGTATTGAAAAATAATTATTCTGAGTTATATGCATTTAACATAACATGACAAACTTGGTTTTTTTTTTGGTATAAATTTTATTTAAATTTTGAAAACCCTTTACAACAGAAAAAATCATTTATTCAGTGACCACAGAATATAAAGGTGTTTTAATAATGTAACGTATAATATTTAACATTAGAAAATATTTTTGCTCCGCTGGTGGGATGCTAACTCATAGAAAATTTCTTCGTTTTCTAAAATTTAGTTTAATTATCAATCATGAGAATAATCCTAACTCAATATTTTTTTCATTAATAATAAAGTTTTTATAAAACTAATTTAAATTAAATAGGTTCATATTATATTATTTACAGAAATACAAAACAAAATCTAGTATTTATTATTATTTTTTTTTTGTGATTATTCAGTTCAGTTGGTATTAAAACATTTTCTAAAATATTGATTTGGCTGAAATCAAGTATATTTACAAAGTTCTATGCTCTAAACATTTCTGATCGTATCGACTTATTTTCAATAATGATGATTCGTGATTTTATGACTTTTTGGATTTTTTTGTTACTGACTACAGTAAAAATACAATTAAAAAAATATATAATATTTATAATATATAATATATACATATATTTTTTTTACTTTTGGCGTGTAATTTTTCCTTAAACTTAACCATATCAAACTATTTTTTTGAAATTTATCAAACTGTGTACTGTTAAAAAAAGTTAGTTCTCTCTTGTGCACAATAATATTAAGTTTAATTATTTTTTCAGAAAGAAACCATGTAAAAAATGAGGGGAGGTAAATCTTCGGTGCTTACAGCACCACTGCTGTTCAATAGTAGTTGTTGGCATCCACGCATTTATTCAAATGGACTGGTACATCGCATAACCGTATCAGGTGTCACAGAAAGTGCCCTTGTATCGTTACTCACGTTATCAATATTAATTGCAAATTTGGTGGTTATAATTACAATAAATAGTAGCAAATATGCAAAATTTATACATCCACAGGTAAATTAGGAACCCTTTTAAGATAATAGAGACATTTATTTTGTCAAATAATAATCTTTGAATATTCTAGCCTCGGTATCTGGTCACGTCTTTAGCGTGTAATGATCTGGCCATTGGACTACTTGTTACACCTCTAGCTGCTTTTTCAGCTCTAGTTCATTGTTGGCCATACTCAGAAATCGTATGTCAAATACAAGTAAGTATAAGTAAAAGTATCATATAAGTATTATATAATATAACTATATCTTATGATTATAAAACCAAATTCGATAGGCAATATACAATACGAAAAATAAATTAATTTTTAACTCATAACTTTCCACTATGCGAATTGACGTAAATGTATGGACAATTTTGAGAAGAATAAATTGATACTTCCCTCATTATAAATTTTATAAAAAAATTTTGGGCCTACGGAAACTTTTAAAAGGCATCCTCCACCATCTTAGATTTACGTTTATAACTTTGTGATGAAACCAAAAGATGCATTTTGAAATTTCGTCCTGGGCGCAATGTTTGGTTGCTTCCGCCCTTGTTAGATCTGTTCCACTCTGTATAAGATGTACGCGATTAAAAAAAAAATGTAATAAGCAATTCTTCATATAAACATACCATTATTCATTTTTAATGTAGTATAATTATACAGAGAGTAATATGATGCTATAATCAATAATCAAATAATTAATATAATATAAAAAACGTGGTACATATGTTTTATTAAATGAGTGATTTGATATATGTCTACTAAGAACTGTGTCCAAATATGACTTAATCATTTAACTATTTTAATCCGCTGTTTTTTTTTTTTTAGTATAAAATAATATTATTAGTAGATAAAACTCCATATTATTTCTAAATATGTACAAAACTACTTACAATGATAAAACTTGTTTTTCTCAAATACAAAATAAATTATGCCAAATAAACTATTTTGATAGATAATAACTCATAACTGATGTAGGCGTTATATAACGGAGATCGTTCACCTTAACAAACGTTTAATATTCCTCGATTTATGTATGACACAAAATCATTTTTCCAAACTTTGGACTTGGTCAGTTTTTTTCGAGCACCATCAAATGATGTATTTAAAAAATAAATTAAAATATTTGATAAAATATGATAAAAAACATAACTCTTCAGTGTAAATCGTTTTGAGATAATCGTTTAATATTTCTGTACTCTTTTAATAAATAAAATATAAATCTCATAATTATAGAAGGATTTATTTGGGCTAATGTTTTAAATCAATTTTATTCTTTCCATAATATCATTATGGACTAACCACCCGTCCCGGATAATAATTGGTTAAGAAACCTCCTTCTTTGAGGTGGCCGCGTTGGCCCTTAATGGGCTGATAAAAGCGAAAAAAAAAATAATAATAATATCATTATAGCCCTTTAAAAACACTTAAAATCATATTACCTATTTGATTTAATTGCTTACAGTCCATAAATATTTTTAACACTTATTAATTGAAAGTTTTTTCATACTTAGCCTTTAAAAGTTTTATTTTTTTAAATAGTAATTTGTAATAACTATCGTATTAATTAATTGAAAAAATTGTATTATGGTAATAAAACAATAACTGCAAGTATTACTATTGTTGTTCGCTATCTTAACCTTCTATTGTGTTGAAATCGATAAAGTTTTATAACAGTCATATCATTATTATTCGAAAAGTGTTTGCGAATGGATAATTGTATCATTACATCCTCTTCAGAAATTCCTTAATAAATTAGTAAACAAAATTGCGTAGTTCAAATTTCATGACTTTTCGAAATACTTCAGTGAATTATTGAAAAAAAATTAGTATCGAAATTTAAAATAAAATGACGAGATATCATAAAATAATTATGTGTAAATAGTAATTAATTTATAACATCATGTTTAGCTAAAATCTTTTTTGAATTTATGCTATTTTTCACGTAAAATTTTCTATAGCCATTTATTATACTCATTTCTTTTTGATGATTTTTCATTTCAAATTTATTCAACAGAAGATTAAATATAAAAATGTTATGATTTATCACTTAATCCTTTATGCACCGCTAGATAATTTAATAAGTAAAGAGTTCCGTAAAATAAAAAATAATATTAATTTATGTAACCGCATAAGTCAAGACCATATTGTGACAAAAAATATAACCCACGGGCATCCGACGGTCATTAAAACTATTATTTTTTACTTAACGACTATTATATGGAAGTAATCGGACAAAAAAATCGTTATCATTCAATGGCTTTCTGTAGTACGTAACGAAAAGCTGGCTAAGCGACTATAAGTATAATTCAATCGCCTTACAAAGTCTTTTCTAATTCAAAAAAATGAAGATATCTAGCTTTTATAATGCCCTTATTCAAATAACTATTTTATATTATATTTGCGGTTTACACTACTAACGCCTTTTTCAAGTGGATATAAAAATTATCAAGTCACTTTTCAATGTATTATATTCCTTGAAACACATACAGCTCCACTATCGTAATCCACTTATGATCCCAACATTACAAAGATAGCGGTGGTTTGAAAAATTCTCCAATAGTTGACAACGTCTCTCATGTCTATATAGTAAAGGTCGTTGAAAATATGAAAATAAAAAAAAAGAGAAAAATAAAGGTTTTATCTCGTATAAAATTATATAGGATCCTAGGGGAACAGAGAAAATGACCATCCAACAAACTAGAACTGAGAGAGACCAATCGACGCTAGAAAATAAAAACGTCGATTGACAATAATCACACAATATTAAATTTTCACTCCAATTACAAATCGAACATATCGAAATAATCTTATAGAACCATGTCGTCGAGTTATATATTTTTAGTATAACATTATGACATATTCAACGTTTACATTTAATACTGGCCCAAAAATGTAACCATAATCAAACGTAAAAAAACCTTAACATTTTCTCCAAAACTTGAATAAAATTATTTATTGACTTTTTTAGTTTTCTTAATTGAACTAACTCTGAATAAAACAATATTTATGAAAGTATTTTGATATCTAATATTAAACCGTAAAGTAACCATTAAAATTTCAGCATCTCAAAGCAGTTGATATAATTCATCAAAATAATTTGAGATCAACTCTAACATCTGCCATAGAGTACATATAATATACAATATCATTTTGATGAATTATCTAATTATTTAAACATTTTTGGGACACTAAATTTATAATAATATAGATAAATATCTCTTGAAAATAAATAATTACGTCAATACGATTTCAACCGTTTGTAAAGTTTTAGTTTTCTTCGACGAGTTTTTTATGCAGAATTTAGTGAACAAATAAAGAATACAATGCCCTTCTTTAAATTATTTAGTTTATTTTACATTATATTTTATGATTGTATGTTTATACATTAGGTAGCCTAACTTAACGATAAGGCCGTTATACAAAATTACAAATAAGGCAAAAAACATTGTAAACAGAAACATAAAAACAAAGGTAAACACGCAACAAATGTAAACAAATATTAACTTTAATATATACTCTAAATATGTGGATTTTACAACCACTTCAAATATGAAGTTAAGTTGAATGGGATACGTATCTTGAACATTATCGAAAAAACTAGTGATCTTATATGCAATTACTGTGTTTTACTGAGCTGAGCTTTTTGTTCTTAAATTCTGGTGCACAATGTAATGTGAACGTTTTTTTATTTTTTGTTAAAACCAGCTATAATTATTTTTTCTTACTTATGTTTTAATTAAATAAAATAAAGTAAGATAAATCGTTATAATTATTTTTTGCTTTCGGCATTAGAAAGAGTAGCCACTTACAACAAGGAGAGATTGAAAAAAAATTTTAGAAATTAATTTATACAATAGCACTAGCCTAGAGACCTCTCATTACAGTACAATATAGTCATGCAAAATAGAAATAAGTTGCAAATGTGTTAAGTTCAATTAAAAATTGTTAATTTTGGAATATTGTATAAGATAATATGAAAATCATAAAATTTAACTTGATTAATGATACTAATTGGTCGAAAACAAAAGTTAATGTTTGATTATTTCAAATTTTGAAAATGTAATTCACGTGCAATCTAAAATTTTTGTATACAGAGTATGCAATGAGTAAAAAATCGAGTCAATTCTTATGAACAATAAAAATAAGGGAGATCACTTTTCTTACTTTCTACACATATAAAAAACACTCCATAAACTTGATTGAGAAATATAAGAAAAATTTATCAAATCGCTGAACATAAAAAAAAATGTTCCCTTAATTAAAATAATACAAACTCACATACATGTGTTAATACCATTGATCTACAAAATAAAACATTTTTTTATCATCAAAGACAAAGTTATATATTTGTAAACTAATTTTTGGCGTTGGTTTCATATACGTATTTAAATGTTTTCTTTAACTTCTAGTTTTTGAAATATTCATCAATTAATAAAAATCAAGGAATTACATATAAAAAAGTTAATTTAAATTTAAAAAAAACATAATTATTATACAATCATTAAGATACAATCCAATTATTTTAGTTATTTGCATATTTATATTTAGACATCTAAATACATTTAGATGTCTGTGATTATATGGCATATGCACATTTTTTCTGAATTAACTAAAATTATGATTTTGATAATGAAATAAAAAAAAATTACAACATCAATTATATCAATATTTATGAAATTAAATCAAGTAATGATTTTTAATTTTTTTTGGAGGTGCTAATTTTATATTAGGCTGTACTAAATTCCTTCTAGCATCCCCAAGTTGCGCCTATGCAAAGGACATAATAAACTTAAATTAATATACAAGGATTTTGTTATTATTACTTCCTTTAATATATAGTTGGATTTCATTTTATTCCATGATTATTTTTAAATAGTTAAAAATTATTTAAGATCTGAATATTTCAATTGCAGCAATTTTTTAAACATCAAATGTTGCCTAGAAATAATTACTATGATTTCTATTGAAATAAATTATTACGATATAAATACAAAAAATAGTGATTTTAAGGAAATTTTAGACTTTTCTCGTACATTTTATAAAAGTTCCTAACCACATATCAATCTAAAAAATACCATTGTTTAAACAGGTTAAACATGATTTTTTAAATCGACATTTTATAATAATTATGGTTAACAAATTAAAAATCAAGATCAATAAAAGTTTTTAAAAAAAAAAGTTTTTTTGTTTAATTACTCAATTTTTATTAATTGATGATCATCTCAAAAACTGAAGGTGATAGAAAAAATCTACTTGCAGATTTGAAATTAGCGTGAAAAATTGGTTTTGAAAGGAATATTTTAGTTATGATCAACATTGATTGTAGACCAGTGTATTTAAAGCGGCTGTTTTTATCAAGTATTTCAAAGTATTGAATGGTCAATACTTGTTATTATATGAAGAACATATTACCAGCACATAAATATGTTTTTACACTGAATACTTATTGAGATTTAACAATTTTTTTACATTAAAGTAATAGTATTTCTGTTTTAGGCTTTATTGAGAGCTGCCTTGCCCCAACAAAATGCCATGATATTGGTATTTATGGCAGTTGATCGGTACACATGCATGCTCCATCCAGACAAATATCATAAACACTCCAGCAAAAAAGTAAGTAAACCCATAAAAAAAAATAAAATATTTATTGTCACTTGATGTATAGAACGATAAAAGTTGAAACTTGAAAAAAGTTTCGATAAAAATCTGTAACATTATACTATTAATCAATTTAAAAACAGAATAACTGCTATTAAGTTTATTAAAATCTCAAGTTGAACACTTTAATTTTTAAAAATTAAGAATTTTCAAAGCGGTTTTAATAAATTTTTTGTTAATTGTAAATCCTCAAGGAAAATAAAGATTTAAAAAAAAACAACACTATGAAAAGTTTTGAAGTAAAAAGTATATTAATTGACATTTAAGTAAAGGTTTATTATAATTAAGTAAGTTATTATAAAAATTTTAAATTGGCTTGTATTTAAATGATATAATTTGGAAAAATGACCATTATTAAATGACCATTTATAAACATAATAAATATTCGTTGCAAATATCATTTGCACATTTTCCTATGTAATAAATTATACTTCTATTAATAAATTATTAAAGTTAATGATGTAAAAAATATAAGCCAATGTTTCGAATCTAATCAAATACTGTATGTTAAAATCTTTAATTTCAAATGTAATTATGTAGATATTATATTTTATGCTTTGTTATTTTGAGTATTGCTAAGTTAATTAAAGGAGAAAATGATTCTGGGATCGGTCCAAATATTTGTGGAAAGATATCAACATTTCCAGAAGTTCTCACTACTAGATAGGTACTGTGTTTTTTGAATGGCTTTTTATTTAATTAATGCTCTAAGTTTCTACAAAAACTATTCTGAATAAAAAACACTCAATTAATAATAAATACTAATCAATATTTATATTTATACGCGTATTTATTAACATTACATTTATAAAAAGTTTGACGCTTTTTAAGAACAATTTGAAGAAAAAAAAAGATAATTCCCAATATGATACTTTTAAAAATAAAACCACATTTGAGACATTTAGAAATATTTATTATAGATTTGATTGTAATAAGATTTTAACATTTTTTAGTGAACACATTTTTTAACACAACAAATAAAACACTTCATATTGATTAAATAGTTAGAACTATTTATTATGAGCAAATAGCACTTGAATATTCATAAGATTATTTAACAAGACAATAAGTTGACAGTCACGGAAATACATTTTTAAAGTGTAGTACTCAATAATATTCATTTAGTGTTTATGAGAAAAATATTTAAATAAAAATAATTTCTTTACATTTTGAAAAAGATAGTTCTGAATTTATAAAAATATCATTTCACCAAAAAACTACACAAATTTACATTAATTTTTAAGCAGATAAACAGTTAAAATTACTTTGTTACATTCTGTAAAATTTATTTATAAACTATGCGCTTTACTTGATAATGAATACAATACACTATATTTTGATTAAATAGAATTCATCTGTTCAAACAAAGATAATTAACAGCCAAGCAAGTTTTAGAGATTTCAAAATATGTCTCTTTTGTAAATAAACATTAATAATGACTTTTAATGTTTGATAAAACAAATATAATTATTAGAGTAAACTGATCAGTTTACTCTAATTTTTTACTTTTATCTCGAGATATAAGTTCACACGGGGTAAGAGTCCAATATTGATATTAATAATTTAATTTTATAGTTATAAAACAATGGTTGATGAATATCAAATCAGATAATTTGTACATGGTTTTTTTAGTCGTTACAAAATCATAAAGATATTGAATTATATATAAATTATAAAAATTTGTTATAATTCACTATTTAGGAATACTATTTTAAATTTATATAACAATTCATAGGACTTGAATATTTTTTCATTGTATATAGAATATTTTTATTAATCAATAATTAATAATAACACAATTTTAGTTTTGTATACAGTTTGTGTCATGTAATTTAATGAAAATTTTTTGATTTGGGGTAAAATCTAACGTGGCTCTAAAAGATGTTATAATATAATTGTATATATAATATGGAATCACCAAATTACTAAATACAATTAAATTAGTTATTATTTTGTTATTTAAAGTAAAAAATACCTAGTTAAACAATTATTTATTTATTTGTCCGTCTATTTATTTTCTAAACTTTTTAAAACTTAAATTTAACTGAACTCTTATTCCATCAATGGGGTAAGAGTACACTTTTAATTTTCAAATTATTTCAGTTCACTAAATAGAGTTCTAATTTCACAATTAATACTTAATTATTACTTTTCAATAGTTTGTCTAGCTTAAAAAAAAAAAAAAAAATTTTTTATTTTATTAACGATAAAAAAAGTGCGTTTTTACATCAGGTTACTGTAGATATATATTTGTTTTAAATATAATTCCTTATATAATTACCGTTATTGATAAATTTATTTTTCTATACATAGCTGTGACATCTTAAAAGTGCATAAATCGAAAAACTGATGCACTTATCTATTAATCAATAGATTGTGTATAAGCATTACAATATCAAAAAGGTGATTATTTGTAAAGTTATGCATCCCGGATACATCGTTATAACTGTTATACACTCAGTTTCTAAACGAGTGTATCAATTGTTTTATTTGCTTTCCGGCCACTATGAAATACAGAATTCAATTGTTCATAATATTTTGAACCGGATACTTCTAGAGCATTAAAAATTTTACAAAACAACTCCCCACTAAATCTATCATTCATAGTGCGCATTAATATCCCAAAGACCTTTTAAATATATTTGAGTACAAACAGAGCCCAAAATACATTCGATTTCTAAGTACATACTATTTAATTTATTACAATGTGTATTATTGATGTAACCAGATATTTTTCAGAAAGAGATTATAATTTTGATTATTTTTTTACTCTAAAATTTAAGAATAAGTACTGAGAAATATTTTTTTTGTGTAAAATAAATAAAGGTCGTGTCTGATGTTCAAAAATAATCTCTATTTTTAATTATAACTTGATATTTAGTTGCATATCTTTTAATTTAAATTTCAAATTTATGTATTCGTTGGAAATATTTGATAAGTAACCTAAATAAAATTTATATTTATATTTTAAAATTTCATCAAACTGTATAATGTATTAAGTTAATCTATGTTATATTAATGCTTTGAAGTTGATAAACTTTGTATTATTCTTTAAATTAACAAAAATGGATAGTTTTATCAAAAATTCTTTAAAATCTAAAAAAAATGTATGTTATTAAAACTATTATTAAACCATTAAAGAGATTTTTTAGATTGAAAAATCATGTTTTATTATAAAAAAAAACTTAAACAAATTAGTATTTTATGAGTACTACAAATGAAAAAAATTAACCAAACACAGTGGGGACGCGTCATAATCGTCAGATTTTCATAAAGAATACTCAATTTTTAATTAATACTCCAATTGTTATTACTGGTATTAAAAAATACTTAATATTTTCCTATCCCTTGAAAACTTCCTCCGCAGTCTACACTCCAATCATCTTGAGATCTCCCTTCATTTTATCTGCCCACAGTTGTCTGGGTTGTTCTGCAGATCGTTTTTTGTCCAGTCTTCATTTTGTTATGTTCACTATTACTCCTTCATATATCCAAACATAACCAACTTTTTTAAATAACTTAATTATTTAATAAGTAAAATAACATAAATTATAAATTTTGTTGAATAAATTATTTTATGAACTTAGTTTAGTATAATACTAAACAAAGCATCTTCAAAGTTGCGTTTCATCAATCGCTATTGTAAAGAATTGATTAATCCAATAATACCCTATAATATGTAGAATCTTTTATTAGATTACTTAAATATCAATTCTATAAATATTAGAAATAAAAAATATAACATTTCTTTTATTTTTAAATTATTAAGAACTGCCCTGAGTTAATGAATAAATTATATTTTTTAGTTTCAACAACTATAATACGGCAGTCGTACACTTACGTGTCTTTTTATGTTTAAGTTAATCTCTATTTTTACCAATTAATAAGTGTATGAAAAATAAATAAGTAGTTATAATATGGATCTCTATTATCATACTAATATTAGATTCTTTTATTATGTATTTAAATAATTTAGTTAAGGAAGTTTAAATTATATAATTTATACTATCGGTTTACTTCTTAAATAATTTACTGATGATTTGTAAATAATTTTTGTATTGGACTTTCAAAATGCTAGAAACTATATTTTACGAGAATCGTTCAGAAAGTAAGGTTACAAGGGATCTCCAAGCCATAGGATGATTTTATCTAAAACTTTTGTACCTATCACGTAGAACATGTCTTCGTAAACAATATCATAGGTTTAGTATCATCAACGTCCGATTTGGGTAAAAAGGCCTATACAATGCTTGACTCGGAAAAAAATAGAAAGACTCTAGATACTTTTAAAAAAATAAGGTCCCTAGCATATTAAAATCTCGTACATTACCAAGGGGCCTTTGTTCTCACACTCCCTTTTACGGTCCTCTAAGAAGTATTAATACATAAAACAAACGATATAACATTTTGTTTAATAATAATACTACATTAAGTTATTGAAAAAATAATACACAGGTAGTACCTTACAATTAGGTATCAAATTAGTATACTAATAATACAAAGGTTTTCTTGACAACTCTTCTAGTCTATCCTATACCTATCAAATGGTGTACATTAACCTGTACACAATCGCAATATCAATTACCACAAAAAAACTAAATAAAACCGTTTTTATAAAGTCAGACAAATCTTCATGTCTAAGTAAAGTGTTCATAAAGAATTTCTTTCATGATATATACATGAACTTTAAAAAGATATATCCTGTGGTCTTGTACCTTACTTTCTGTACAACCTTCGTATTTTATTCCTTAAAGAATTCACTTATCGTATCATAGGTAAGCAATATTCCAATAAAATCATAGACTTAATCCTTTGCTACATATATTTCTATTATTTATTTACATAACGTAATTGAAAAAGTTTTTCTTCATTGATTGATGAAATTTGAGTTGAAAATATCAAAATAACCGTAGAACAAAACTATTTCAAGGTTATTTAGTCAAGTTTTTGTATAA